CTATTTCAAGTCGTTCGGCGTCTGATCCTTACATACTGGCCCAATGTCATTGCCCCGTCTTTTTATCAATTCTTTTTTTCTCCAAAATCATGTTTTCCACCCTTTCCAGCCTCTATGTCAGTTCCTTGCACTTAACTCTTCATCCTTTCTTCAGAAATGTATTTTCCTTCTCCATAAGTCTTTCCTTCACTTAAATCTACTTCTCACTATCCCATTGCACATTTTGTCCAACCACATTTTTGGATGGAGCCTTTCTACTACACTCTCTTTCCTCTCGCTGAAAATTATTTTCTTAAATATATAGTACCAACTTTTTTTTTTTTACCCTCTGACTAAGCCGTGCCCACTTTTTTCTTTCCTGGCATAAAAGTGGTGGTTGAGATCATTCCTGGCTGTTTAATGGAACTAATGTAGATCTGTGACTCTTTTGGCATTGACCTATATAGTGAGAGTAGTCACCGGAGCACATAGCTCTGCTTTAACACACAACTGGACAGATATAGTGTAACAATCAGTCATCCCTATCCTCTAGTGCACAGGGACATAATGATGCCATTAATCAGGGCATACCCGAATGCCAGGTGGGACAGTCTATCTTCGTAAGGCTGTTACAACCAGAAGCTGGAATTACCATAACTCTATGTGTTTTACTTCATTTAGGCCTACATCAAAATATTACTTTGTTGTTTTGTAACCTCTGCATTCACTAGTGATCCTCTGCATATTTGATCTTTTCCACATCAAACAGTGGTATTTTCTGCCTATTCTCACACTTTGCTGCAAGAATTCCTGTTTTTTTTTTTGTTGTTTTTTTTTTTCCCAACATAAAAGTACAAGGAGATTTTGATAAGTGAGAACTCTTTCTTTATAATGGTGAAGACACAGTTCTTAATAAGATTTAACCAATTTCTGGTTCTCTTCCAGAGAGAATGTATCATCCATCAATGTATGTTCGAAAGGATGGTCACTTAATATAGTATAATGTTATATAAGTACATGTAAGAGGTGTAGTCAGTTATCACATGTTAGAGTGCATTTATAAATATGCTATTATTCATGTGTTATAAGAGCAGTATTAAAATCTACAAACTAAACCACAATTTATATTGCTTAATAACAAAAAATGTAAAGTTCTCCAGCAGTCAGAAAAATGAATAAAACAAAATAGAAACTAAACGAAAAAGATTTTCAAAACCTATGTTACATATTTCCTCCTGTTGATCTTGATGCATCAGATAAAACATGTATTCTGCTTTTGTCTCACCTTGCATTATAGGGACAACTCCTTGGTTTTGCACCCCTCCCTGTTACAGGTGCCTCATCTCAGGTCCCCATTTAGCATTATACTGCAGAGAGAGTCAGATGGAATTTTTCCCCACGTAAGTGAGTTATTCACATAAGAGTAGACATTAGACTGTGAGAGTAGGACCTGTCAACGATGGGGTACATTGACATTGTGGCAGGCTTATGCAATGTATGATCATATAATGTAACTAAATCCCCATTATTTTTTGCCTAGATTAGGTGTTTTTTAAAAAAAAACTTTAGAAAAAAACTTTAAAAAAAAACTAATAAAATCTGTCAACATTGAAGTTGCTGTTTAGTAGATAGGAGAGTGCACCGGATCTTGTGTATTGTTTATTATATAATATGGCCCCCAGCAGCACCCCATTTAAGCATGTTCAGGTGAGTGCAACCACCCCCCCATGTTTCATATATATATATATATTTGGGAGTCTAGCCAACTCCTTGGTTTTGCACCCCTCCCTGTTACAGGTGCCTCATCTCAGGTCCCTATTTAGCCTTGTACTGCAGAGAGCCCCAGATGGAATTTTCCCCCATATAAGTGAGTTATTCACATAAGAGCAGACATTAGACTGTGAGAGTAGGACCTGCCAAAGATGGGGTACATTGACATTGTGGCAGGCTTATGCAATGTATGATCATATAATGTAACTAAATCCCCATTATTTTTTGCCTAGATTAGGTGTTTTTTTTTAAAAACTTTAGAAAAAAACTTTTAAAAAAACTAATAAAATCTGTCAATATTGAAGTTGCTGTTTAGTAGATAGGAGATCTTGTGTATTGTTTATTGCATTATAGGGACACAATAGTCACCAGAACCACTACAGTTTAATGTAGCGGTTCTTGTATCTACAGACTGTCCTTGCAGCCTTAGAACTGTAAACACTGTCTTTTTCAGGGAAAATGCAGTGTTTACATTGCTGGCTAGTTACACCTCCAGTGGCAGTCTCTCAGATGGCCAGTAGAGGAGATTCCTGTGTTAGTGCTGCACAGTGTGCATCACCTATGTTCAGCATCTCCACGTTCTGCATGGAGGCGCTGAACATTTCCCATAGAGATGCATTGATTCAATGCATCTCTGTGAGGAGATGCTGATTGACACAGTACAGTGTTTTGTCATGCAAGCTCAAAAGCCTCCCAATGCTTTCCTACGGTAAAGTATTGGATTGGCTGAAATCATCAAAAATTGATAATCTCAGTCGTCGAGGTGGGACCAGGCGGTTCCAGCCGTGTCGAGAACGACGCAACGTGGGAGAAAAGGTGAGTAAAATCACCTTTAATCTCTGGAGAGAGGGGGGTGGGGGGGCAGGGACCTAACGCTGCACTCCAGCACTATAGTTTTAGGAATAGTTGTTTTTATTCCTGACATTATAGTGTTCCTTTGAAGAATGTACCATCATGGCACTAATACCTGGTGCATCCCCCAGGCTAGAGTTTCAACATTAGTGTGTTGGTTTAGTTCAAAACAGCGTGCTTTACAGATCTTAATGCTAATTTAAGTGTTGTTACGCAAGGATACCTTTTCAGAATACATTTACTAGCATTGTTGAGCGTCACATTTTATTTTTCAAAGGGTTTCAGGCATTCCGAACTAATCTCCCACATTTAATTGAGGAAGTAAGTAGGATTTTAGATCACGAGAGCCATAGTAGATATGATCTCTTTATATATTTCAAAAAGTTTTGGTACAGTGCCATGAAAATTATTTGCACAAATTAAGGATATTCTTAGGTGTTAACAACCATGCCGGAATTAGCGATTTGTTAATAGATTTCTAGCTCCAAGTGGTTACGGTGTAAGGAGTCTTCAGGTGCCTTATTCTTTTTCTAAGGAAAGTGAAAATGGTTTGAAAGAAGATGTCACCCAAAGATTCCTTGTATCGTAACTGGTACATTAAGATGTAGTGGCAGTGGCATTTCGAACCTCCTTTTGATGGTGCCTGGATCCTATATTAAACTTTTGAATAGTATGTACTCCTGTACATTAAAAGGTTGCATACCTCTGAATTTGAATTGAGACTCCCAATTCGACAAGTATCCAGGTATTGCATCCATAACTTTTTAAGGCACCATAAATGACTAAAATAAGTAGTAGTGGTTATGGTGACTGGAATGTCCCTTTAAGGTGCAACATTTTATATCTTTTATTTAACTACTCCTCAAGAAGTGTTTGTTTTATATCCTCTTATGGAAAGTTTTTTTTAAGCCATCGGGTGTTCTCTCCCCGTGATGTAAAACGTCAGACTTAGGGACCCAGAGAAAATATAAATTACATGGAATAGAATTTGACATAATAAATACTTCTGAACATAATTTGGGTGTTCAGGTATAATAAAGATGATGGCCTCTTATGATGTATATATTTTTACTTCACAGACAAAATTAATTTTCTCGTGAAAAAAAAAAAAACACAATTCAGTTTTCCATGCAGAGTTTAGAAAAGAAAGCTGTGAGGGGAAATTAAAAGTAATTTGTTTAATGTTTCTCTTTCCTTTAACTAACATCCATTATTCGTAATTTTATAAAAGAGAAGACACCAACATACATCAGTAAATTTCACAGAATATACTGTAAAGCAAGATACATTGGACAAAGACTGTCTGTTGAAATTTGTTCACTTCTCTCAAACAATTTGTTTACCTAGGGAGGAGGAAATAATGTCTGCTTTTGTTGTCTGGATACATTGACAAGGGAGAAGTGCCGCCTATCTGCTGTTTCATTGGGTCCGTTGGTACCCAAGTATCTGCCAACAATATGCTGCTTTTGTAATAAATTGGCACCCAATGATTGGAAAATCTGTGGGTGCACCTATGTGTCTCTTCCTGATGCTATTAGTCACATTGTGACTAGGTGGTAAGGCACCCTGAAAAATACCCACAGTACCCAGCAGTGTTTCCATCCAAGCCTGGTATCTGTACTAAGCCACTGTATCCTAAGGGTATTCAATAATCAAGCAGGGTCTGCGGACAGATTCCCCAAACAAACAGCATTACAAATGTAATGTACTATACCAATCACTGTGGACCACAGAAATTATATTGTGATAATAGGCATACGAAATGTTCAGTTTTTAGCTGAGCAATCTCTATTTCTGTATTTCTTGACCCATGTTGGTACCATGATGTCCTGCATTGTGAGCACCAGGGAACTGTCCCTAGCCAGCACAGAGTGGGTGCATCATTAGATGTGCTCTCACTGTGTTGAGGGCTCTAGGGCCATGCAGAGGATGCTTCAGTGCTCTTGGGAGCATATTCTGTTTGTGTGGCTGGCCCGGAGGCCATCAGGTCAGACTGGTGTGCTTTGGTGCCAGGCTTGCAAGCCACATCTATGCAGACCTGCCACTTCAGCAGGCTCACCCATTTTAAGCATTGGCTGTAGTGCAAGTTGCATTAATGGCACACCTCGAGGGCCTGTCTACCTCATCCCAAATCCATAACTTCTAATGTTGGAGTGTATGTTTGTTGTGTTCCAGTCTAGATGTCCGGTGCTATATCTCCTTGGCCAAAGATCTTTCCAGTGCTAGTCAGAGACCTGTTGAATTGAAATATCCTTATTAAAAATACCATCTGGGGGGGCGTGGCTTAGCGGGCAACGCGGATGGACGCACGGGATTGAGCTCCGCTCCCAGCTAGCCCTAAAAGCGACAAAAAACAGCATTGCCTGCGGGAAAAACCGGGACCCCCGACTCACCTAACGATGTCCCACCCAAAGCACAAGAAACAAGCAGAAAAATCCGACAGGTCGGAGTTCTTCGCGGCCCGAGCCTCGACGCCGAAAGCTACAGGCCTGCTGGACCAGGCCCAAGATGGCGACGGCGGGAACGACACACTGCCGCTAAGGACTCCCACGGGCTCCCACAACCTGCCAGTCACGCAAGACTTTCTGCAGACATGCTTGGAGGATATGTCCAGCAAAATCCTGGCATCCATCCAAAGCACTCTGAGGGAACTCAGCAAAGAAGTGCAGGAGCTGGGGGACAGGACCGCACGGGTGGAACAGCGCGTGGAGGAGCAGACATCTGTTCATAACGAGCTGGCAGACCAAGTGCACAACCTGCAGCAGTTACTGAACCAGTCCCAAAGGAAAATCATGGATCTGGAAGACCGCTCACGAAGGCAAAATCTGCGAATTAGAGGCATACCGGAGGAGGTGTCTCAACAAGATCTGCACCCCTTCCTCATAGAGTATTTCAAAGCACTGACCCCCGAGCTACCAGCGGAGATGCTGATCCTGGACAGGTACCACAGGGTCCAAAAGCCAGCGTTCCTGCCGCAAGACACACCAAGGGACGTGCTAACCCACCTCCACTACTTCCACGTAAAAGAGGCAATTCTCCAGGCCACGAGAGGGCAAAGGGATCTGCCACAAAAATTCACTCACATAAAAATCTTCACGGATCTGTCAGCGGCTACACTACAGAAAAGGAAAGAATTCAAAACGACCACAGAGGCCCTGCGCAACAATGGCGTCCAGTACAGGTGGGGATACCCGGTCCGCCTGCTGATCAGGAGGAATGGCACACTGACAACGATCAACACGCCAGAGGAAGGCCACAAACTACTGCGCAGCTGGGGCATTCAACCAACCCAGGCAGGGGCAAAGGCTGCAGATCAGCGCAGACTGTCTCCGGAGTGGAAGAGGGCCAAAAAATGATCCCACAAAGGGATTCCAAGCAAGAGATGGGACTTAACAGAGACTCCAGAGGGAGCAGTCGGACAATGGGCCGCAAGTATACCAGACACACATGACACGCACACTCAAACCCTATCACTCGATATATAACTCACACAGCCACACCATTAACCTGGCACATGTCAGTGCCTAGCACACTAAATAGAGACGAAAAAAAAAACAAAAAAAAAAACTCACTCACAACAACTTGATAGGAGCCCAGACCTAAATACAGGCCTGTCCAGAAGCTACACCCCAGACACGCTAGAACTCACACCCATCTCACCTTTCACCATTTAGCCGCAAAACACACGCAGGCAAAAAGATAGCGTGTAACGGGCATGGCATGCTCACCTAGCTACACCGCACACATCACTCATCAGAGTTCACTACGCACCCCAATGGCACCACATAATGGGTGCCCTACCCTTCAGTGGGAAATGTTCAATTGTAATACTGTGATATTGTATGTTTTGTTTTATGTTGCACTGTTTACCCCAAAGGTCTTGCATAAGGTTAGCATGACTGCATCCACCCTTGCTCACCACCCCACCCTTCCCCCCACCACCAGACAGGTTGGAGACCACGTAGCATATATCCGAGTTGGAGACCATAGGACCCAGGGAGGAGTAGCACACCAGACACTGACCCCCCAAGTCAAAAGCAAGATACTTCAACACCACTCAATAAAATATGAAGATACACTGTCATAATGTAAAAGGGTTAAACACCCCAGTAAAACGATATTGCCTCATAAGAGATCTGCGCAGGGAATGCCCTGATATAGTGTGCCTGCAGGAAACACACCTCAAAAAATCAATAATCCTAGCCCAGGCGCAATACACAGCTCAATTCCATAGCACCTCCACGTCCAAAACGAAAGGGGTATCCATCCTCATCAGCAAGGATGTGTCCTTCAAACCGTTATACATATCCATAGACAAAGAAGGGCGATATATTATCATGATATGCGAAATCAACAATTTAGAATACACGATAGTCAACCTATATGCACCCAACACACACCAGAGGAATTTCTTACATAAAGTCATCACACTAGTGCAATCGGTCCAGAGGGGCATCACTATATTATGTGGGGATTTCAATCACATACTGGACCCCAAATGGGATACCACAGTACAGCTAAACACTCCCAGATCAGCTACCCTCCAGAGGGAATGCAAACCACTAGTACGCTTGCTCAAAGAACACGATTACTACGACGCATGGAGATTGCAACACCCTGGGGAGAGGGACTACACCTTCCTCTCTCAGGTACATAACACTTACTCGCGTATTGACGGGTACTATATAAAAGGTGCCCACCTCAACCACATCATGTCCTGCACGATAGGTACCATAACGTGGTCAGACCATGCCCCAATAACCTTAGTGCTATGCGACGCATATGACTACAAGCATCGAAGCCCGTGGAGACTAAATGAATCTCTACTGACAGACCGACAATACAGCGACACAGTTAAAGACGACCTCTCCAACTACTTTGACACCAACACAACTCCAGACATATCACCAGAAACACTGTGGCAGGCCCACAAACCAGTTGTAAGGGGACTCCTTATAGGGAAAGCAAGTGCAATAAAAAGGGCAACCCAAACAAAAAGAAAAGAATGGCTGACTACCCTCTACAATCTAACCAAACAGAACCAACTCACACCAACCCCACAGCTCCTAGAACAAATTAAACAAGTAATAGACGAAGGCAAAAAACATGACCTAGTAAAAATGGGGTTCACAATGCGGAAGCTACAGGCAGCCCACTACACCCAGGGAAATAGAGCCAGCAAACTCTTAGCGAGGAGACTGTCGCAAAGGAACGCACAAACAAAAATCCCATTCATACTGAACTCTAAAGGGGAAAAAAGGGTTACACCCAAAGACATCAGCGACGTGTTCGCCGACTACTATACGACCCTGTACAACCTGGGTCGGGACCCAAACACCCCGCAACCGTCACAAACACGAATAGAACAATACCTGGAGGGTATATCACTACCGGGCCTTACTGAGGACCAAAGGGAGGGCCTACAAGCCCCTATCACAGAGGAAGAAGTGCTACAGGTAATAGCGAGCCTCCCCAAGGGGAAAGCACCAGGACCCGATGGGTTTACCAACGCGTACTATAAACGATTTGCTGCCACTCTTGCACCACACCTAACAAACACCTTTAATGCCATCACCCGAAAGGCAGAAGCCCCGGCAGACATGCTAGGAGCTCACATTATAACACTTCCAAAACCAGGCAAACCACCCACATGTAGTCAAAACTTCCGGCCAATATCCCTACTAAACACAGACACAAAAATCTACGCTAAAATACAGGCAAATAGGCTAAAACACATCATCCCTACACTGATACATGATGACCAGGTGGGCTTTACCACAGGTAGACAGGGATCAGACAACACGAAGAAAGTGATCGACCTCATACACAGCCTAAGACGAGATCGGACGGAGGGTGTTTTACTCTCATTGGACGCAGAAAAGGCCTTTGATCGCCTTAATTGGCCTTTTTTAGAAGCAGTGCTCCAAAAGTACAAGTTCCCTAGATCATTTATAAATGGGGTAAAAGCACTATACTCCCACCCCACAGCAAGGGTACTCAATGCAGGATTTGTGTCCAAACAAATCAACATAACGAATGGGTCCAGGCAGGGGTGCCCCCTCTCCCCACTATTATACATCCTGGCATTGGAGCCCCTTGCAGCGGCGATAAGGGCGGAACCATCCATACAGGGCATCACAATAGGAGACAGGGAGTACAAGCTCAATCTATTTGCAGATGACATCCTAGTAACGCTCACACAGCCCCTAATCTCCCTGCCAAATTTGATGCTACACATAGAATCATATGGTGAAGTATCATATTACAAATTGAATGTCACCAAGACACAAGCATTGGGGATGCATCTAGGCACAAACCTCACGTCCAGACTGAGAGAGGCATTCCCCTTAGATTGGAGAAACGATCACCTAACCTTTCTGGGCCTCAAACTTACAAAAAACCCTGATAAATTATTCCACCACAACTATGTACGCATGCACAAAGAGTTCACAGATTCCATGCAAGCATGGAAGGGAAAATACCTGTCATGGACAGGACGCATAGCAGCAGTCAAAATGTCGCTAATACCAAAAATCCAATACCTGTTCCGTACACTACAGATACCCCTACCAAAGCAATACCTCAAAAATATGCAGCACACCATCAGTGCCTTCATTTGGGAGGGGAAAAAAGCAAGAGTGGCAGCAGGGACGCTACAGCAGACAGTCCGCAGGGGGGGGTTGGGCCTCCCGAACTTAACGGCTTACTATAGAGCAGCATACCTCCATAACATTACACAAATAAACCTCACTGTCAAGGCTCCACAATGGGTAGCCATAGAGGCGCACTGGGCACCCAGAAGGGACCTACGAGCACTGATATGGCAAGGAAACTGCCCTAAGCACACCAGGGACAAACTCCTGCCCAGTACCCAGACCCTTCTACAAATATGGCACAAAATAAGAGATAAAATGGTGGCAAAACAAAAGCTTCCTATGGCCACACCAATCCAAACAGTAGGGCTGGACATCCCAACTTTCCCGTGGGAGACATGGGTGAAAGGGGGGATACGCCATATATATCAGGTGATAGACAGGGGGCGACTGAAAGCACTACCGGCAATTCAGGAGGAATACACACTGCCCAATAAGGTCATATTCTCTTACATGCAGCTAAAGTCCTACGTTTCAAGTAAGCTAGACGCCGAAGATAAATGGGACGATGAACTGAACATGACGAGACTTGAAAAACACTGTGTGGGCAAAAAGACACTGGGGAAAACCCTATCATGGGGATACCAGGAGCTAATAGCAACACGAACACAAACACTAGATAAGATCAAACTGGCGTGGCACCAAGAGTTGGGCCAGACGTTTTCAGAAGACACCTGGGACCGGGCATATCTGGCGCACCAGGGACTCACAGCATGCCACACACACCTAGAACTACAACGCAAACTATTGTACCGCTGGTACTTAGTACCAGACAAACTCCAAAAGATGTGGCCAAACACTACCAACATATGCTGGAGATGTGGGAGTGAGGTGGGGACCATGCTACATATCTGGTGGTCCTGTGCCGCACTTAGCTCATTCTGGAAGGAAGTGACCCAACATTTACAAAAAATATATCCGACACCCAGGTTAGATAACCCACAAACATGCATCCTGTTTATGTTGCCCAAGAGCATCCCGAAGCACATTAGGACGATTCTCTATCACACCCTCATATCAGCAAATCAGACGATATCCAGGTTATGGAAAAAAACAACAACCCCCACTATCCAGGATGTGATAAAACAGGTAGAACAAAACTGGGAGTACGAACTTATGACAGCAGCACAATTTGGGAAACGCACTCATATACTTGAGGCACACAAGACTTGGAAGGCTAGCATAACATCCGAGGTATGAGGGCGGGAAGCTGGAGATAAGCTATAACCACACTAGTGGGCAGAAAGCAAACCACCCATCAAGGCCCACAAAAGGTGACGTTACCAGCATCCACTAGGTGTACAAGCAAATGCCTCAGCTTACATTACGCAACAGGTAGTGGGAGATACGCCAGGGACAACCTTGGTCAACCACATAACGGGGGAAATGTAAATAAACCTAGGAGCCCATATACAACAACCTAATGACATAATGATATAAGAGTGTAACTGTATAACCGTACAACTACCTACACGAGAAGGGTGATTAGCGGGGAGATATACATATACCTGGGAACCCACGTAAAAGTGGATAATCGTATAACTGAATATCTGTATAACTGTATAAATGTACAAATGCATAATGGTATATTGGTATAACGGTATAACTGTCTACCTGTACAACTGCTTAAACACGAATGCTGATAACCTGTCTTCCCCCTTCCTTTCTGTATCCCCCCCCCCAAGTTTGCATACTCGAAAAAATCAATAAAATTCAAATTGGAAAAAAAAATACCATCTGAACTAAGAAAATATGACAACATGAGTTAAACTGTAAGAACGCAGGGACGGACTGACAGTGCATTGGGCCCCCAGGCAAAATTAGAACCTGGGCCCCCTGCAGACCAATATATATGCTGGTATATATGCTGGTATAGATGTAGCGTGTATTTGATTATATGTGCATGTAAAGTGAATGTATGCTTCTGTAAGTATATTAACTATGAGCCGTGGTCTAAGTGAATATATGTATCTTAAAGTGCGTAGTATCAGGACGTGTGGATTCAGAGTATATCTAATTACATGTTTTGTTTTTTGTAACTAGGGTATTATTTATGTGTGTTTGTGTAGCATGGCAGTATGTATAAGGGAGTATTTGTGAAACATGTCAATGTGTTTGAATGAGGCATGCAGGCATCCAAATTTTGGGTCTTGACTTACTAACCATGTGCTGAAAGTTACAGACCACCTTAAATGGACGACTATAGTCACCAGAACAACTACAGCTTAATGTTGTTGTTCTGGTGTGTGTATAGTCAGTCCCTGCAGGCATTTTAATGTAAACATTGCCTTTTCAGAGAAAAGCCAGTGTTTACATTGCTGACTAGGGACACCTCCAGTGGCAGTCACCTCCTGTAGGCGGCTACTAGAGGTGCTTCCTGGGTCAGTGATGGGGATTGTGCAGTACTGACGTCGTTCAGTGTCTCCATGCTCTGCTCAGAGATGGGGATTGATTTAATACACCTATATGAGTAGATGCAAATTGGCGCAAGCAGCCTTTTGCCATGCGTGTGCATTAGCTTCCCAATGTTTTCCTATGAGAAAGCATTGGAAAGGCTGAGATTGTCAATTCTGATTATCTCAGCTAAGCGGGTGGACCGTGGGCTGAGACAGGTGGACCGTTTATGGCGCTGGAATAAAGGTAAGTTTATTGCCTTTTTAAGGGATTCAAGGGTGTGCCAGCGACCTAAATAAAGTTTTTAACTCAATAGGGTCAGGAATACACATCTGTAGTGTTCCTTTAAATGCATGTTTTTTTTTGTTTTTTAATTAATTCTAGTATGTCCGTGACATCAGTGTGTGCATGCAGGGACATATTTGTATTGAGGGTCTGTATGTGTGTGTAAATGCAAGGCCATATTAGTATATAGTTAGTGGGTGAACCCAGGCTTGTATGTGTGGAAGGTCAGTGTGCGTGAACACAGAGGAATGTAGTGGTTATGGGGGCTATATTGGGGCGGGAGTAATAGGGGCTATAGTGCAGGAAAGTGGTAATGGGGGCAGGTTATATAGAAGCTATTCAGGGTGCAGATGAGAGATAGGAGCTGTAGTAGATGCAGAGAGTAATGGAGGCTTCAGGCTGTACAGCGCTACGGAATCTGATTGCGCTATATAAATAATAAAATAATAATAGGATCTTTAGTAATAGGGTCTGTAGAGGGTGCAGGTGCTGTAGTGGGTGTAAAGGGTGATAGGGGTTGTAGTATGTGTATGGCGTATAGGGGTTGTAGTGGGTAATGGGGGTTGTATGTGTAGGGTGTAAAAATGTTTATATTATGTGTAGTGGGTGCAGGGGGGAATAAGGGTTGTAGTATGTGTGGGGAGTGATAGGGGTTGTAGTATGTGTAGGGAGTGATAGGGGTTGAGGTATGTGTAGGGAGCAATAGGGGTTGTAGTATGTGTAGGGAGTAAAAAGGTTTATATTATGTGTAGCAGGTGTATGGGTTATTAGGGGTTGTAGTATGTGTGGGGAGTGATAGGGGTTGTAGTATGTGTAGGGAGTAAAAAGGTTTCTACTATGTGTAGCGGGTGCATGGGTTCATAGGAGTTGTAGTATGTGTAGGGAATGATAGGAGTTGTAGTATGTGTAGGGAGTGATAGGGGTTGTAGTATGTGTAGGGAATGATAGGAGTTGTAGTATGTGTGGGGAGTGATAGGAGTTGTAGTATGTGTAGGAAATGATAGGAGTTGTAGTATGTGTAGGAAATGATAGGAGTTGTAGTATGTGTAGGGAATGATAGGAGTTGTAGTATGTGTAGGGAGTGATTCCGTCTTGAAAGTTTGGGTGTTCTTGTGAAGTCTGGTTGCTGACTTGAGTGAAAGCATGTTTTTTCTTTGTTAATGTAAATGGGCCTGGCAGGCAGTGATTAGGAGAAGTAACGGGCTTAATGAGATTGATAAATGAAATGAGATTTGTGTCTCGCAGCATTTTCTTACCTTAAAAGAACAAAGTCCTTTTTACTGGACTATACCATAAAGTATGCAGTGAATACCTGTTTACAATTGGTTAGTGGATTCATAAACTATAAATTATAACACTTACATTTTTATATGTCAAAGACATGTTTAAGCTTCTCAGCCATTATTTTATATTTATGGAAGAATTATTGTGCTGGCTATTCTATAAACCCAAGAAGATTTTTTTTTTTTTTATCTTTACTTTTGTTTCTTTGGAATGCTTGTTGTATGCGTGCCCATTGGCCTTTTTATGACTTTATTCATCATTTTTTGACAGTGGAAGTTCCATTTGTAATAGCCACAGCCTATTTTTGATCTGGGCTTTTTTTTGTGTGGGCCAAGTGCATTTCTACCAGTCTTACTATTTTACTGGGGCAAGGAGATGGAACAGAGAGAAAGGACACGAAGCCTGGAAAAAAGGGATGAGAAAGTGAAAAAGACGTGGCACATTAGGGATGGGAGAACGTCCCTTTGAGGCTGGATGAAGGCCGTGGTCCGGATTTGTCAACAGTAATGTAACTTATGTGGCTATCCACCAATCTCCTTATTTTTTATTTTGAGTTGTGCCTCTATCCTTTAAGCCACACACAGTGCCTGTAACTCTCTAAGTTACGTGTACAGACGGATTACAAGATATCTTAATCTTTTTGCCCTGACTAAAAATCTTCTTCTGAATCCATATGCACAGCACAACCAGCAGATCATGTTTATGCTGAGGCAAACCTTCACGGAAGCATGAGAATAAAGTATGAATGTTGACTAGGTATTTGTAAATGACTTGCGTCACTGGAAGTCATTACTTTTCATGGTTTGCCCTAGATTAACCTGAACTCATCCAGTGTTCACACATCTCTCCTGGAATATTGTATTTAAAGGGGCACTACAAGCACCATAACTGCTGGCACCATCCTCCCAGTAAGATAAACTATATTTGAATGGTTTGACACTTACCTGGATTTCTCCAGTTCTTGTGGTCATTCAGGTCTTCTTAAAACCCCTAACACAAACATTCTCATTCCACTTTAGCCATATTATTATCATTATTTATATGCCACCAACAAATTCTGCAGCGCTGTACGATGGGTGGACTAACAAACATGTAATTGTAACCAGACAATTTGGATGCACAGGAACAGAGGGATTGACGGCTCTGCTCACTGAGCTCACATGCTAGAGGGAGTGGGGTAAAGTGACACAAAAGGTAAGGATAGTATTAGACTAATGACCGTTGCAGGAGAGGAATCAATTGGAAGCTATTAACAGTTTTATACGCTATACATATTAGTTTTATGCAACTTTTCACTTCATTCATTGGCTGAGAGCATCACCTGATGAATTTTGGCAACTGGAGGGACTCAAGTATGTGTCAAACCAATCAAAAACGAGGCATAGCGTCATAGAGATTCTAAAACCATAAACACTACAATGGGCAGGCGAGCCCATCCAGTAAAGTAATATGTCAGCCTGTTATCCATGCAGAGGTGGTTGACAGACGGGCTCTGAAGAGCCCTCTCAGGGCAGACCAAATACAGAACTCTCCAAAAGCACTTTGCCCACACGGTCTTCGTACCCTTAGGTCATTAAGCGCAGTGTGAGAGTATCTGATTGGGGACATTTGATGGACATCTGTGGAGTACCAGGTTGCAAACCCAGCATACCGGGCCTGGAAGAGGTCTTGCCAAACTTACGATGTTTGAAAGGTATGTGATTCTATGCAGTGATGTTGCTTCACAGTATTTAAAAAAAATAAATGAAAACAATCACTATAATGTTGTTGTTTTTTTCCTCACATTTAATCTATTGCATGAGCAGCATATTGCAAGGCACATTATTTACATGATTTAAGACATCAATCCTTGGCACTAGGTGTCCTGTGATTACAACTCCTGTGATTCTCAGCCAACTCTAATGAATCATTTTAAATGTATCCTTTTCAATTTTTTTGCAGACAAGCAAATAAGTAGACATTTCCAGCTCTGCAGCCCTACAATAATTACTGTAAAGAGTGCTTCTAGCATGGGCAGGCTTTCAGTGTCATCATTGTTAAATAGGTGTTTCAGAGACATGTGCTATTGTGCTTCTGGTTTTCGGGTTGAATATTAATGTAGGCAGTGAATTGTGTTGTATACATATAGATTTTTTTGAGGGTTGGTATTTTTATGAACTGATCATGATAAAATGTTCCGGCTGGTGTTGAGTTACAAGTATAGTATAAACAGATCACGTACGCAGGAAAAAAGAAAATATACTTAACTTTGAGATCTCTGTATTTGCAACATTTGCTGTGATTTGTAGAGTTCAGCCCAGACCAGGAAGAAGATGAAACTCGTTCAGCCATTCATGGCCCTATTACTATCTTCATGGCCCTATTACTAAACGTTCGCCCAATATGGGTTATATTGTTCAACACAAGCAGCAGTTTCATTCATAAAGAAACAAGAATGAAACTGCTTTATGTATTGGCAGACACTATAGTTGTAGCAACCAATCTCGACTGCTACTTTCTGATCTTCACACAAGTACAATGTCTCCAGGAGAACCAATGCAGTCTTAATGGTAAACAAAAATAATGTGATAAAGATAATATACTCATCTGTTGTCTCCAGGAGACTGTGATAAAGAAGATTTGCTAAAGATAAAATACATCTCTGTTGTCTCCAGGAGACCCAAAGCTGAATTAATGATGAACAAAAATAACGTCATAAAAGTGATGAGCTAAAAGTGCCACTAGCATCATGTGTTATAGAATTAAATATGCATAATGGTACTGTATATGAAATATATAGTGTAATGATATCAATTGGCAATAGATTACCTGTATGGAAAAAAAGGCGCCAGGCATTGATTACCTCTAACACGAGACCCAGAAACCACTGAGATGGTTTACAAACAGTTTGACTACTTACCTCTGGGAGAGTGCCAAGACACTCTTGTCACCATAAACACGCAGTAGTGGTTATGCTGTTTGGAGTGTTCCTTTTAACAGCTTTAGCTTGACACATTTGACAGTCATATTTTGAAGATGCTTCTTGCACAACATGCAATAGTTTCTACAATAGGGCTTCTCATTGTGGATGGTCAATAAGATCTATGGAGGATCTCATGGTCTGTAACCCCATTAGATGATCAAGCTGCACCGGTGATACAAAGGAGGTTAAGCTCCAGATAAATATAACTCTCCCGTAGGGCTATCCCATGCAGGTGGACATGTCACTTTAAAGGTTTTTGCAAAAACTGCTAATACCTTATGAGTGGCAGTGCTGCTTTACGGAATTGAATCATGATTAAGAAGACAGACTCAGTCACAGAGTAAATATTTAATTTTTTTTAAATGTTTTTTTTTATACATGCAGCACTCGCTTCATATCAGACACGTGACATTCTGTTATTATTATTTTATTATTTATATAGCGCCATCAGATTCTGTAGCGCTGTACAATGGGTGGACTAACAGACATGTAATGCCAATAGCATTCACATTACACAACTTTAAGAAATTTAAACTTATGCAAAATTTAAAAAGGCAAGATTGTGACCTGTTGTGAACACATCAAAACATCATGGCATAAATATCAAGCACAGTCGTCTCATCTAAAAATTGTTTTAGCGGAATTCAAAATTTAGGAAACTATAAGCAAGCGTTAAAAATTAAGGTTGTAGGATGTTTTGCCCAACTAATAATAAGGCAGGTTTTTTTTATTATTAGTACAGTAATCATTTTTTACGTGTTCACACTAATGCTATATATTTGTACTATTTTTTTTATCACAGCAATATCTCCTAACACCATTTTCTCTTGCTCCTTGCTGTAAGCATGTGTCCGTGAGCTAATGAGATTCTTTTTATGGTACTCTGAGAGGTCAGTGCTAGCCTCAGCCTGCATTCTCCCTTAGCTGTCTATTAAGATAAAAAAAATACATTAATTACTCTTGTAGTGGTATAATGGCAGCTAGGGTGTAAATTATATTAGAATACCCTTAAAGGCCTCGAAAACCATCCTATCCCTACAATCAGGGTGCTGCAGGCGTTTCTTCTGTGACATCATTTTAATTAATCCTACGTCCCTTAAGGGCAATTTTTCAGTCAGTGCAAAAAGTATATATATTTGTTTTAAGGAAAAAGAATTGTAGACAAAATAGCACATAAAAGAGACCATTTCTAATGCAGTAGTTACATGTTCTACTGAAACAAAATATTACATAATACGCCGTTCTGTGAGCAGTCACGGTTGTCTAGGGGAGCCGAACCCAGCAGGTCACAAATAAATGGATTAGAAGCAATGTGATTAAAAAGACAAAACTAGCGCTCAAGGTTAGTGTCTAAAGACAGACGTCTGGGCTGTTTGCCGTTACCATTTCATAACCATTATGTTAAGCCATTCTTTCCTAACAAGCCAACCTAATTTACACCCATAAAGTCCTGTTTGTCTGCCACTTTGCTCCAAAACGGGTTTTTACTCTGCAGTAAGAGGCGTTTATTTGCCGTTCCATTTTGTCAACGTTTTTGACACACCACAATAGCAAACTAATAGTCTGTGTTAACAAGAGCTCCCCACCCATCCACTACAGGTGCCCCTTTAAAGGGAACCACAGGAAAGTAAAAATTTAGGAGAATCGCAAACAGCAGTTTAAGCAGTAAGTACTGCAGTTAGCTTGTATGTTTCTATGTTTCTTATTAATCTACCATGTTAAGATTAGTGTAGGACCCACCGATATTGGGGCACTGTAACGTAGTTGTGGGCTTAACATGATGTGGCCATATGGTGTAACTTAATTCAGATACTTGCTCGCTGAGATAAGTGATTTTACATGGCCTCAAATTTAAAGTTGTATTTTCTGTGTACGTTTTTCCTTAATCTGTATTTCGTATATATTTTGGTCTTTACGGAAGCACCACAACTGGGTGATGCATGTTCTGGCTGTGGCCCCCATTTCCCCTTTTTTCTAAACAGGAGTAACTTTCCCACTAATATAGCGCAAATGTAATGTGTTGTAGGTCTATTTGATACTTAAAGGCCTACAGGAGGAGGAGTGGGCGGCTTACTCTAAATAGGGAAAAGAACACTATGGCATTAGGAATGCAGGTTTGTATTCCTAATGCTATAGTGTTCCTTTAACAGTCGGTATAAAATAGCATTCTAACTTTAAAAATAATTACATTATTTTTAAAGTTACATGTGTTCCTAACTCTTTTATATTACTGCCCCACCCCCTCTTTAAAAAAAAAAAAAAAAAGGTGCAAAAAATATTAACTTAATAACGTTGGACAGTCTCCTCAATACAGCCCCTCTGCCTCTTCTGAGATAAAACCCATTGTACAGCGCTACGGAATTTGATGGTGCTATATAAATAATAAAATAATAATAATCAATGCTGCTGATCTTGGTACGAGCCAATGCTTCCCATGGAAGAGCATTGGGACCTACAAAACATACACAGCATTGGCCGCGCTCCACCAACTTGATGCTTCTTAAAGGGAGCCACTAAATTCCAAACTTCTCTCTGTGAAGCATTAACAGCTGGACCACAGTACGCTGCTTTCTGTTCGCTGGCAACAGCTCTGCATGGAATGTTACCTCAGTCAAGAATAACCTTAACACTGCAATGTTTGTGAACGACCTCTTCCACGAATCTCAAGCAGCTGTTGAGGTAGGCAACCTTTGGCACTCCAGATGTTGTAGACTACATCTACCGGATTGCTCTTACAGCCACAATGCTGGCAAAGCATCAGGGGAGATGTAGTCCACAACATCTGGAGTCCCAAAGGCTGCCTACCCCCTGTTTATGCTCATGTTATTACGCATGGTGTTGAATTTGTGCCTGTCGGGGACTTGGTGAAAAATTGGTTTTGTTTGATACATATGTCTCACAACAATGATTCATATAACCAACATACAGGATAGATTTATCAAAGTGACAGTAGTAATCGTAAAATATAAAAAAAAATAGTAGTGAGTGATGATTGCACCAATTTATCATTCCAATCTGAACCGTTTTTCTCCAATTCAGTGGTGAAAAAGATGACCTTGTTTTAGTTAATCACTGTTTTATCACATAATCCCGATAGAAGTCTATGGGGTAATGTAAAGTCATTATACCACGGGTAAAAGATTCAGGGCCTTAGTATGGTAGGCGATTAGAAAAAATGGTTCTGAGCAGGGTCAGGATTAGGCACAGGGGAGCAATGTACCATTCTTAAATTTGGAGGTAAGTGGAAATTAAAGAATTTATTTTCTCTTGCACTTTATTTATAATTGTTTGATCAAGTACACACTTAGTTCTACATCCCATATTTCCTTTTGTGATTTTGTGATTTATAAATGTAGGGAATGTAATATGATTTTATGATCAAAATGAATTCAAATTTAATTTAACATAATTACTTCGGTTGTATTTATTTATTAAAATCTGAATTGTAGCAAATAAAATCCAAATGGCAACATTTGTCGACTATGAAAAATCCCCCAACTGAGCTATAGTCATGACTATTTTAGCCTCCGTATTGTTTACAATGTGATATACTGCGGAGCTGAGTTCATATTATCCTATTGTGTTTAAATTCTTCATTCCATCAGACAGGTGTGGATGGACGAAAATCTGTGACTCTGTAAGTAGATCGCTGATTTCCCAAAGAATCCTACCAATGGTAGGGCACTCTGTCATCTCAACAGAAAATCAATATTAAAAATGTGGTTGATCCAGCCTTTTGAGATTGATAGCCCAGCAAAATGGCAGGTTATGAAATTCTAAAAGAATCTGAGCTGGTTTAACAGATTGATAATCTGTCATTTATCCAGATAAAAAATGAGAGAAAAAAGTCATGCTTTGAGCAAGTGTCACTGACGTCAATGCACAGTATTGCATGCTGAAAGCCAGCACTTTGCCTTCTTTTATTGTGGGTTTGGTATTGATATCATTGATCTGCTTGAGAATCCACAGATGAAGAGGAGAACGGAATTATGCATTCATCTACAGTTTTTAATAAGAAAGCTTTATTTTTAAATAAAAATTATTGTGGCAGTTTTCCTTTCATCTCTGTCATTGGGCTCCATATTTTATTGACTTACAAAACGATGATATCAAGTTTCAACGCCAGTGAATAATGTGTTGGTTTTTTTTTTTTACAATTGTACTGCATTTACGAAATAACCAGTTGTCCAGCGACGTAGCAGCGTCCTCTACATGTTTGTTAGAATTAAGATGAAGAATTTCTCAGGATTCTATTTATTGATTGACACAGCTAGACCCTGGAACCAGACTTAATAGTTAAAGTGGCACTGTCACCCTCCCTTTGCAAAAATGAATATGTCATAAAGATAAAATCCTGCTGCTGATTCTCAGCCAATGAATGGGCATCTGTTCATAGACATATGCACAGAATTGACATTAGGCAGCCCACAACTCTTGGCTAGCTTATGACGCTGCTGGAGGTGAAGTTACACCTCCGGCAGCACAGGGGTTAAATTCAGTATGTACAGCGTTTTCATAGCTCAATGTTGCACATAGAGACGCCAGGCACCATAACCACTACAAATCACCAAAGTAGTCATTATCCTTGGAGTAACACTTTAATTTAAAATCAATGATAAGTTGGTTTTCTTTTCAGTCGAGCAGCCTTTTGACATTTACCATACTGTTATCTTCACTTACAGTTATTCACATACCAGAATGAATTGCTTCATTTTTTACATCCAAATCTGCAAGACACACCTGGACACAT